CTGGATAGGCTATATGCATGAAGCGCGGTTATACTCTGTCAAGGTTGGCATCATAAGACAGCTTGCTATCCGCAATATCTAGTTGAAGCTGGTCTCAACTTGTCCGACTAACTAGGGAATGGATGGTGGTGTCCTGTCCAACGTGGCGATTCCAGTGCATGGGGATGCACTCCGTACGGGGTAGGTTGAGCGGGCAAAGTATCTGGTGAGGTAGGACAGGTTTCCCCTGGCTGATACGGTGCGCATCAGTCGTGCAGCTTCGCTTGCTTATCAAGATACCTAGCTAACTGCTTCGTACGGCTGCCATGCGAGGTGGAGACGGGAGGCTCTTCTACCGTGGAGATGCTCTGACGTCCTAGTTCTATTCTTAGCAGCGTGAACTGGTGCCATGAGGTTGTACCACATCTGGAGATGATGAGTGGACATTTGTGTAAGTATATGCATGACAGGAAAGATACACGAAACACCCGGAGAACGCGGAGATCATACAATCATACGGAGTAACGCAGGCCACAATCCACTCCAAGAGGCTGTTTGCTTCAGGAGAAATTAAGACTGTAATATTTACCTTCCCTTTCTAGTCTCACTCTCTTAGCACATCAACCAATTTTGGTGTCAGGCTGAGCCTTGAGCGAGAGAAGACTTAAAGGGGGCTCTTTATGTTGTCTGTGGCAGCAGGTCTCCCTGCCTGTAAGTAACTAAAGGTAAGACAAAAAAGGAACGTCAGTAAGGTGGTGGTCAGCCAAGCGTGTACTCTTTCAACTTTGTATCGGTGGAAACTCACCCACCTTCAAGTCAAAAAGGGTGGCTCAGGATGTGGGTGAAGGTTCTTCTGTGGAGGGAGGCTGATGTTAAAAATAAACCAGTGACGCACATGGCATTGGATGGTTGCATCTTAACAAGCGAGGTTGGAATGTAACTAAAACAATGTTTCTGGAAAAGAAGGGCAGACTCATAGTCCTGCCAATATAGGGACCATCTTTCGCAAGAATGGCCAAAAAAAGAGGTTGCTGCCTGCTTGAGGCTAGTGAGAGTAGATCCAGTATGGAGTAGGGAGGAGGGTAAGGGAGAAATGCATGGAATCTCCGAGCTTTGAAGAAGTAATATAATAATAATAATGTGGTTATTTCGAGTTGTTTTAGCTTCCAACCTTATATGAGAGCCTTTTACGGCCCACACCTTCGCGAGCCTAGCTACTTCGAGCTTTTAGCAACCCATACTATATCCTGGCCTGAAGAAAGGCGGAACAGGGCTTTCCTTTTCCTTTCACTAGCTACCCCTTTTCCCTCATCGTCGTGAAAAAATCAGTAAACCGTACTATCCAGATATGAAAGAAGAGATCAGCCTTGCTTTTACCTTTTGTGCAGTACCACCCGTAGCCCGCGTCGTTCATTGCCTGATTCTATCGAGTTGAGAAATTTGGCATGCCAGCAGCCTGCTGCCAAAACTGCAATAATGGTTGCAGTGTGGAGATAAAAATAGTATGGGGATAGCCCCGGACTGTCATAAATAGCACAGTTTCTCATCAACAGTATAACCAACTCTCCAATTGTCCGCACGAGCGGGAGGGCCACACCATGAGTCCACAGCGCCATGGTATTGGGAGATTTCAGGACCTTCGGGAGGGTCTGGGCTGGCTGATAGGTGGCTTGCCCTGTGCAACGTAAAGTATCAGCTTGTTGAAGTACATTCATCCCCACCGCCCTTAATTCCGCTTCCCTATCATTGGCATTTTCTGCTTTGATCCCCACAGAGACTTTCTTGGACGTTTTCTTTTTCTTTCTTTTTTTTTTTTTTGCTACTTGGCTCACCTGCATGGTCTGTGTTGATGAAAGAGTTGAAAGAAGGAAAGTTTACGTTGGGAAGAACTTCTGTATGTAACGCTGTTTTTGTCCAGATGGCAAGGCGAAAAACTGTTTGATTCCCCTCAGCCGACCCAGTCGGCTATCAAACCTTCACATGCGCCCTGTACGTGGAGATTTTTTGCCAGCCTATCATTATTCCTGCAGCTGGCTTTTGGTCAGCAGTAATCCCTGTTCGATTTCTCGCTAGCACATTGAAGGGTTGACACACTCGGCACAGAAGGAAGCAAAATATTATGGCCCGCTGATAGGTTTACCAGAGGGAGGTAGGAAACCTAACCTATCTCCCATACTCTTTATATCAATGGAATTGTGAAGATGGAAATCCACGTGTGCATCACATAGAAATCGGCACACGCGATTATGATATACTTACATCGAAACGTGGTATCCCACCTTATTGAAAATGAACAAATGGGAGAGACGATGCGAGAATTTAAGTTAATAACGTGGCTGGGGTTTTCGGGCTGATAGATGAATCGTCACTGGCTGGAATTCAGCTGATGCAGGTCGTGCAAATAAAGAAGCGGGAAGACTGTTGAAATACGAAAGCCTTCCTCAAGGGGAATTTCCCACGAAGGAGGAGAGAAAAGGGGAAAGCCTTCTAAGAAAAGCTTCTTCTTCGTATATGAAGATCAATCTTGGGGATTGTGCGCTCCACAGTCAAGTAATGGGAAGAATTATATGCTTTAAAAAGTGGTGATGTGGGAAAGGGTCTGAAAACGATTGAAGGAGGAACATTTCACACTTTGCACATGGCTGAAGGTGGTTGCAGCGCAACACGGAACGACGTGGTTCCTGCCGGGTTACCGGCATTGGCCCTTACGCAATCAAGCTGAAGTTGTGCGGCCATCCCTTATTATTTTGTCGTAAGCAAAAGCCCAATCTGTCAGTTTTCACCGCCGGTCTGAGCAAGCAAGTTTTGTTTGGCCGGTATCGCTCAGAATCGATTGGTCAAGAGCGGCTGATATTGACCTTGGCATACGTCCGAGAAACCCTTGTTGGAGTTTGGCCTTTATTTTAAGTGTATTTTTGCAATGAAATCTTGACGCTCGGTGTGAATCATTCCGGCCATACAGTGGAATCGGGCAGTCTTGCCCCTTGCTCATATTTGCGCTTTTTGCCCAGAAGATTGAACACCTTAGCATAAATAGACGTGAGCGTTGTAAGTTTCTCGAAATGCTGATACAAGGCCCGTGTATTGAAAGAAATGGTCCAATCAGTATTCTTGATCTCAATCTTAAACTTTCCCTATCAGGCAAGTTTGCAGTTTAGAAATCAATCACAGCTCGTATAGCAATTTCCAGATCAGGAAAACTACGGCCGCTAACAAAGCAACATGCCGAATCTTAAATTTTCTTTTCCCAGAGTGTCGATGCAAGGGGACTTCATGGAAAAGAAAAAGTAAGGCATCACACAGTTCTTGGGAGTCTCAGTGTGTCCTTGTCCTGTCACGACCAACAAATGCTTCTTTGTCACCAGAAAAGCACTGTTGGCCTCTTGCAAAGGATCGACAATGATAGCGGAATGCCCATTGTGATTCCATCTCGCATGGCAGGGAGCAGCCATGTTTCTTGACATCACAGCTACTTCTTACTTGACGTCTTCCTGGTCGGATCCGGATGCATCGACCCAGCATTCGCTGTATCGGAGCCCTCGCGCTCCCGCGTCCCTCCTCGTTCCGCGAGATCCAATCCAACGGGTCGATTCGCTTATTCTTGCTTGTGCTAGCCGCGTGTTCCTCAAGCTCAAATTACAGAGTCGAGTGGTTGCCAAAGAAACATGTGCCTGTCAAGGGAAACGGGACGTCTGAGCTGGGTTGCCACGCACACAGCAGTCGCACAGTCTCGTCTCGCGACGGGCAGGCAGGCTCCAAGAGATAATAATAGTTCCCTCATGCACACATGAAACACGTTAAACTCGAAAAACTTTGCGCTAGCTAAGCGGCTAGGGAGCCGGGATGCTCTTCATCTCCTTGAAGCCAGGCAGGCAGGATATCATCTGATGGGCAGGCTTACTGCACGCAAGCCACCACCTTGTCTTGTTTTCTCTTCTCGTCCCTCCGCGCGTTGCTTTTTCCTCCTGTCCTATCTGGCTTCGCAGCGGCATACCGGAGAAATTGGCACCTGGAGAGAGAGGAAAGGAATTCTCAGGACGCCGCCCTCAGTCCTGTTGGGAATGCTGTACTCTGTCCCCCGTACAGAGTGCTCGCCTGGGAGTAGTACTCTAGTAGTAGGAGTCGACGGTGACGTTGAAGTTCGAAGTTCGACGTTGAAATAACAAATGCCGACTTCCGAAATGAGATAGATTAGTCAGCCCTGGTCTTTTTGTTTTGACGACCTTCCATCCAACAACAACAACATCAGCTCTTCGACAACTATCAGAAGCACCAGCGACACCCACAACACACACCGTCGGCTCCGTGTCCAAAGAGCTGTTCGAACGCGACGACACAAGAATGCTGATCCCTCCATGGGCTGGAGGGTGAACACCAAGAGGCCAATCATGTGGGAACCTGATCGGGAGGCCTTGAAGGGCCCGTCCCGTGCAAACCCTGCCCTTGATTATGCGGAGGGCTGGAAAATTGCAGAGATTGGAGGGTAATGTTCATCTCTGTTCATGCACATTTCTCCTGCGCATTTCCCCTCGTTTCTTTTTTTTTTTTTTTTTTTTTTTTTTTTTCATTTATCATCTTGTAATTTCTGTGGTGTAAATATATATGAAACGACGGATAATTTCCCCTAACTATTTTTAAATTCTCCTGACTGGGTAACCTACTCACTAACTACTTCGAAGCAAGCAAAAAGGAGCAGAGCGTTGCCATGGCCATATTGCGAATGCTCCTCTGCATGTTTGGTTTGATGGAGCGAAGTTGCAGATCGACAGGTTTTGCTGTGACAGGCGTTCACAAGGCTCTTCTCTCAAGTTAGTTGTCTGGTCCGTCACACTAAAGGGACGCTTATCAACTAAAGGCTGGGATTAGCTCACTAATCCTCCCAAGAGCCGCTACCAGCGTTCATCACGGTTGGAGTTTCAAGTTTGAAGAGAATGTTAAAAATTACGTCGCCAATACATGACTAGTAACATCGCGGGTCAATGACTGGCCGTGCGCCGAAGGTAGCAGAAGCTTCTGCTCCATCAACAGGTCCAGCGGTTCATCCTCCCTCCTCCCCCCTTCGGCCCTTTGGGGCAGAGCGAGGGGGGAGCCTGACCTTCGATACCATCAACTTCGCTCCCACTGGAGTTGATTCTTCCCGACTTGCCGGTGCTGAACTTTGTCTCTTTCCCACCTTCTCGTTTTGTACTACCTCCTCCCCCCATAGCCGACGGTGTGGATAAGATCTTGTTCTCCACGCTTGACAAGAGATCGATGTCCACAACATAAGCAGCTCTTGTTGTTAATATGGCCTCTCTCGTTTTCATCCAGCCGCTGAGCTGACGAGACCCAGGGTTCGTCTTCCCTGCTTGATCGGCCTCCCTTTTCCACACATAATTGTCTAGGATCCCTCGAAGCCAACCATGCGGGTGCAGTCCAGCAAGCCAGCTGACCATGGTCGGCCGGCCGGTCGGTATCGGTATTTTTCCCATTTTGTACTCCATGTTCTCCGTCCATACGCCGTCACCCAATTCACCCTGGCCCTTTTTAACCTCTTTTTCTTTTGCTATCACTTCTGACTTTTTCCCATTTTCTTTTTCTCCCCTTTTTTTTTTTTTAAATTCCCTTTTGCATTAATTTTCGCTCGCTTCTCCTTTGTTTTTCTTTGCCTTCTCTGAATTTCTTTTTTTCATCCCCTTGCTTTTGCCATGTATATCTCAGCTAACTTACCTTGTCACAGATTTGGCGGATGCCACATGGTAACTCAGCAGGCGCATGCCTTGGGCGCAGAAGGATGGCGGAATCCTTGTACGCCTCTCAGCCAAACGCCTGTTTAGCATACTTCTCCGTTTCTTCTTGGATCCATCCCCATACTGATTACATCTGGCTCAAATCTTAATTCGAATTCCGTGGCTCCCATGTTACCATGTTTATGTTCAAGAGTGATAGTCATGCTCTTTACCACTCAAGAGCAGACCCCGTCCCCTGCCACTGAGATCCTCCTATTCTTATTTCCCTCCAATGGCTGCTCCCGCCGCCCGAACTTTCTTGTATCTTCACTCTCTCCCCCCTTTTAGGCGTCCTAAACGTTTTAACGTCTTGGTTATTCCTCTCCCCTGATAAACTTTCGCCTCTCCATCCTCTCCTTGCCTTGTCTTTCCACCCCAGCCTGGCTTTGGATCTCTTCTCTGGTCTATAGCCCAACTCGAACTAGCGTCCTCCCCACCCATGCGTTTAAGCTCCGCTCTCTTCCTCCTCTCCTCTCCCTCTGCAGGCCTGTAAGCTTGCTTTTTTGTTACTTTATTTTTTTTTATTTTTTATTCTTTCTCCTCCGTCCTTTTCTTTTTCTTTTCTTTCTTTAGTGTGCTTTTTCCTGATTTTTGCTTTTGCACTTCTGTCATACCTTTTGCTGAAGTATATATCTTGACCCTGACCAGGATCATTCCGCAGAAGAAAAAAGAGGGTCCCTATTCATCCGATACCCTTGACACTTATTTTCACGGTCTTGAGGTGGTGTTCCATGCTTTCCTCTCATCATATTTATCCATTGAGATACCTTGTTCTGCATCAATTTTCTTCGATCTCCATCTTCATACCCTTCATCAAATAACCTCGTCTCAGCCGTTACTCGCCAGCTCGTGTTTAAGCCTCGTTGATATATAAGCAGCAGGGTGAAGATACACGGGGTACCGGAATTGTTCATTTATACCCAAGAGAGAAACCCTCGAGGTCTTCAACCTGACCAGTGCAGAGCCAAAAGAGACCCGAGGTTCCGAAAAGAGATCCAGCTCGTCGGAAGAGTCGCCGACGGCCTGACGCTGTTGGTCTTTGGAGCCTTGCTACAGAGGTACCGATACCTCTACAAAAGCCGTAGGAGCGAAGAGTCCCAAGGCCGCGGAATACTCAAAACATCAACCAGCTCAAACGCCTGTGACACTGTTTGAAGAGGGCCAGAGATCTAAACCAGCCCGTTCCGTGTCTCCTCTATTACTACGACCCTGTTTCTATTTATATACCTGGCCCCCCTCTCTCATTGAAATCATCTTAGCCCAACGACGATATATCTCGTATTACACCCTTCCTTATATACCTTGATTCAACCTCCTCTTGTTGCCATCACAAAAGCTCGAACTTCTATACCATCTTCGGCTCCAAACTCACCTTCAGCGAGTATCAACAACCAAACCATCTTTACTTCCTAATCCTCTCATCTATTCACAATGGCTGGACCTGGTGGTGGACCTCCTCGAAAGAGCCATACCAAGTCTAGAAAGGGTTGCAAGACTTGCAAGAGAAGACACATACGCTGTGATGAGACCATGCCGCAATGGTAAGTTTGATCCAGTCGTTTGGACTTTTTCTCTAAGACTGACTTGGGCGTTGTAGTCGAAACTGCACTAAGCATAACTGCAGATGCGATTACATGGATAATGTTCTTGCTCATGATGCCGCCAATAATGCCAGAAGCCCAGATCTTCTTATGTCTCCGGAGATCGAGCTAGAGATTCAGAACTGGCAAAAGTCTGGAAATCCTCCTTTCCCTGAGTTACAGCTTAGCACTCGAGCTTATTGGTATAAGTTCTCACGCACGGATCTTCGACTCATCCACCATATTGCGGGTTTGTCCATCGACCTACACCGAAGAGGCTACAGTAACTGCACTGTATGGGCCCAGAAGATGCCCATGTAAGTTGCCCCACAGTCAAAGATGCAAGCTCTTCCATGATGAATCCTTCTAACTCTTCCATAGCTTCCTTACTATTGCCTTGTCCAATGACTTTGTTATGAGTTCTATTCTGGCATTATCTGCTTCACATATTGCTTGGATGACCCAGAATCAAGACACTGAAAATCTTGCCTATCATCATCGAGGTGTTGCTATCAAGGGCCTTCAAGAGGCAATTAGCTCATTCTCACGCGAAAACTCGGATGCTATTCTTGCATCATCCTTGCTCTTGTCATGGCAATCCACTGAATGGTCAGTAAATTTTGCATGATTATATAGTTGTTGCGTTTAGCTAATGACTTCACTACAGGCGAGGGTGGGCATCTCTTCAACAAGGAGTTTCAACAGTAAGATTTCAGCTCATACCCCTATATCTCTACCCTTGATAGGGACCTTTTTTAACCGGTCATTATTTCAACAGGTCTTGAACTCGATGGAACCATGGTGGAAGGAAGAATCTGAGCTGGCCAGATTTATGGATGGCCAACGAGCTTTTCGAAGTGCTCGAACTCCCTTAACGCCAACCTACCCAGGCAGCATGGGCCATTTTCCGAACGAAGATATCATGAGACTGGATAGAGTTATTGTCAATCTACAGAATATCCATCAGCGAATTTCTCATAACCAAGAACACTTCCGCAGGATAACGGACTTACTTGCCTTCACTCAAAGGTTGCGAGATGAACTACCTGTTCAGTCTCCGGAGAAGGCCTTCGAGAGGCTCCAGCCCCTGCGTATCTGGCTCTTTTGGCTCCCTTCGGCAATGTTGCGAGGTGGCGAAACTGATCTCGGAGCTCTTTCCGTGCTCTCTCAGTTCTTCGGCGTTGCCCTTGCGCTGGAGCCACTCTTCCCAGAGTTTGGCGGTTCATACCTTGGCTCCATGGCGGTCAACCCAATCGAGGAGATCAGACGCATTCTATACCATAGACGTGCGGCGAACCCATTTGCACCTGAGATACAACTCGCTCTCAGCTTGATGGATCTTCCAGCAGAAACTGTAGCCGAGTACCGCAGTCGTCTCCAGTGGTCACCAAGATCATCCTTCGACGGATATCCTACAGGATCACATAGCCCATATCACCATGCGCTTCCAACTCCCCATTTGCCTCACCTTCCAGCTACATCTGCGGCCATAGTCAGCCCTACCACCACTGCCTACCCAGCATATACCACCTCACCTCTTCACTCGCCCATGACTCCAGCCATCGTCGGTTCACCATACCAGATGTCCAATGCAATGCTTCACTCAAGACGCCACTCTCAAGTATATCCATCACCCACGCTTCACCACGATCCGGTAGAGGATCGTATTCCCGAATATAAACAACCAGAACAGCCTGCGATGTTCAATCCAGCTTATCTCGGAAATCTTATCAACGGGGGCCCGACAATCGGGACGGAATACCATGATTCTCCCCCAGTTACTGTGACAGGAGGGTTGGTCGCTCCGGAACTCTGCTGGACTTGATACTAGATGTATACCTGTCTACGTTATCAAGTCCATTTGCACAAGCACAAGCCCCAGACATACCCTCAGCCCATTTTTGATATCGATCGCAAATCGAGAACACATAGCCTAAACAAAACAATGTAACCAAAAAAACAGAAAAACCTGCCCTCTTTCCCCTGCCTTCTATTTTCACTTCTTGTACAGACATTTTTCAAAGCTCCTTTCCCCCGCTTCCCCCCATCGCCTGGCTATTGTTCACAAATCGTCTATCCGTCGCTCTCCTACAAATACAGGAAAAAACGGTCCGGCTGAGATTCATGTTCTTACTTCTTTCCTCTTGGGAATCTCCAGGCACCACCACCTCCATCCTCAACGCCATCGCGACAGTTCATCTAGCGCCAACATTGCCACACCACCTACCTCCGCACCGAGACCGACAAACACATTCTAGACTTGCTTTCGCCATATAATACCCTTATTATTTCTTACCATTCCATATACGATGACTTGACGACTTATCCGAAACAGTGTGATGGGGATATATATAAAAGGGCCAGAGGACGAATGGAAAGCATTGGCTTGTCATTCAACGACAAGGGCATTTGGCGAATACATCTCATAATGCGTCATTTTCTTTTTTGTTTTCTTACTACTGTACAGCGTTTTATACCGGTTCATACTTTTTCATCAGGGGATTTTGTTGGTTCTAACCTGCCGTTTAGATTGGGGTTCTTCACTTCTTGATCCATATTTATTAATATTTACATATCTAAGTATTTATATACGCTTATAGTGACGTTTCCTTCAGGACTTATGTGTTCCATTCCATGGGATTAACACGATACGAGTTTTATTTTGCTTAAGTAACTAGTTAATCGAGGAGAGGTCTTGTTTCCCAAGTTTCTTCATTTAAGTATCTTCGGAGACCAGATTGACCGACGCTACTATCCAAGCCGGTTTGAGCGTTTGGATTCTGTCCGTTTGCTAGTTGCTTTCTTTGCATCTTCTATCCACTTGTCATATTCCTCCGTACCTTGCTTTAACTTCATGCCCACAACCCCCTTCAAAAGCTGTCCTGTAAAGTCAATAAAGTTACACTTTCTCAGCGAGTTTTCCCAAGCCCAATTTTCTCTCTTTCTCTTCTCTCTATCCAGCATCTCTTCATCCCCAATCTCTTGTGCACGTATCCTCAAGTCCCTCACAACAGCCATGAGATTGAATCGAATCTCTCCTTCGGGGTACCGCCCAATTCGTCGATGAAGAACATCAATAACCTTCTCCGGGAATTCTTCTGAACTGCAGGGTCCATGAGTTATTGGATGTGGTTGTAACCCGTCCAACTCGTACAACTTGCCGCCAAAGGGAAGGTAGGCGATGAAATGGTATAGTTCTGCATCTTCTTCTGATGGAGGTGGGCGCGAGGTTTCGTCTACAAAAGGAGACGAGCGAGCGAACAGATTATGGGCGCTGCGGATCCGGGCTGAATTGCTCAACGTTTCGCCCCTGAGGTCAGGAGGGAATCCGGTAGTAAACTCCTTGAAAGAACGTAGCTCGGAGCCAATGTCGATTCCCCTGGTGGATGTTGATGGGCTGTCTTGGTTGAGTATCACAGATAGGACCGCTTGTGTACCACAAGCATTCTGTATCGTCTGGGCAGCAAAGAAAAGGCCATCTTCAACCGCTCCATGATCGTATTTCCCGTCTTGAGGATTGGACGTGTTTCTCGACTGTCCACTAACCCATTTGAATAAAAATATAACGCCGTATACGGGACTATATCCATATAGTCAGCAAAACAGAGCATTTCCAAAAGACGCCATTTTAGAACTTTGGGAGAGGCGGTTGACCTTAAGGAGCGTATTGTGTCAGCATCCAAAGATACCAATTCTTCAAACTGGACATCCCGTACTCCAAGATTCTCTACCAACGCAGTAAAGACCCCCTAGAGCCACAATGTCAGTATGCGACGCAAAATCTTGAGATTAACAGCTACCAAACGCACCTCATCTGACTCGATGGTGCTCCACCCCCCAGCCTCTTCGGACATGTCGTCAAACTTGTAAGGTAGCTCGCAATAAAACTAGAAGTCCTCTGCGACCCTCACCGCGTATATATTATGGCAGCTTAATGCGCCGGTATGATGCGCCCAGTGGTTGCAATGGTGGTCTTTGGTATTTCTGGTTTCGCGTCTCCAAACTTCGGAAGTTGATGTCAGAATATTCCAAACACTGCAAACACTGCAAACACTGCAAATTTAGTAACTAAACTTATCCCGCATTGAGGGAATGCGTCTATAGCAATTGTTTGTGTTTGTTTTCGACGCTTTATGCTGGATGACGGCGAGGAGACAATGGACACAGTAAGGAAACTGAGAAGAGAAATAAGGACATTCAATGGAGATTTCTCACCACTATATAACTATACAAGGTCAAGACTCCAACTATAACTATAATACACCAACTAAAAAGAGAATTTGTAAATCATATTACACACCATGTTTCAAACAGAGGTATAGTCTGTGAGATACAGGATACCGGCCTCAAGCATCCACCAAGACGTAATCTCATGAGCAAATTTCAGGACCGGGTTTTCCAGGGGCATCGGAGCTTTCACGTCACTGGGCTGCCACATCACGGTTTGTGTCTTGAAAGTGATCTGGCCGTCGTTTCTTTCCAGTGTGGTCACCAGTCGGCCACGAATTTGATTGAGTGCCATCCCAAACTCGACCCTATCTTGCTCTCGGCACACTACAGTGTATGCGCCACAGACAACGTCGCCTGGCTCGAAATTAAGTGATTGAATGTGAGACGCCTTGAAGGTCTTACGGGAAGACTGATCACAATTGAGGCTTAAAGCATATGCTTGTGGAAAACGCGAGAAGGCCGTCATATTTCGTCGCAAATACCGGGTAAGTATCTCCTCGTCGGCAAGTAATGGGGATATGTTAATGCCCAGGGTAGAGAGTGAAGCTACATCGTAAACGGCGCGGGTTTTGCTTGCAGCGTCCTTGTCCTGAACCGATTCCGGCATCGACTTGACATCTTGAAGCGGTAGGTCTGCCAGCGATCCTCTTGATGTAGAATGCCGGACCTTGCAGCCCAGCCGGCTGTGTTGGTATAGGAGGAAAGCAGTTGGTGCGCCGACTACGACTAAGACTGCAGCCGCGGTCGTCAGCGCCCGTGGGTAGCGTTCAAAGAGCTGAGAGATGACGGACATCCTATCTTCGAGGAACTGCATTGTGATCTGCATGGAAAAATCGGTTTATGGTCCGGAGTGGGTGTTGTCGAGTGGGAAAGTTCTATCACATCCGGGCATTCGTTCTGTGGCCAAAAAGATGACGCTATTTATAGTGACTTTCTAGAAAACATTGCATTAAATTATGCAGTAATTGTGCAATATGCATAAAATATGCATAATTATATGCATAACTCAGATTTAGACCGAGATAAGATAAGATAGAAAGCTTAAGTCGTCGACTCCTGATGGATGCGATATAAAAAAAAATACTGGATGGGCATCGGGGCAGACGGGATACTGGGGATACTCACAGCCTAACGGAGATGTTTCCTTCCAGCTTTATAAAAGAAATCAAAGGGTTTTTCTCCTTGCGCGGGGCTCAGCAACCTTGACTCGAAAATACCGGCTCGTAGTTCATATATATAGCAGCCCAAATGCTAAGTAGCTTCAGTCGTGTGGCGCGTGATATGCTAATGGCGAGAATATAAGTATATACATTGCGGGTGGTATTCAAGGTATCACTCCTGCCACCTTTCCCTTTCAACGCCATTGACCCTTAGAGATTGAAAAAAATCAAATGCCCAACCCCATGCCAGAATGCTCACGCTACCGGGCACCAATTTCCACATGCCGTAGTTCAATACCCGTCTGTTTCTTGTCCAAAGATTCTCCATTTTCACTTGCTTCGTCGTACTTGACGACGACGTGAGTGGTCATTCGAATACCGTGTTTCTCTGAATCACTGTCCTTATCAACCATTGCATCGACTCTCTCTTGCGATTCTAGATCCAGATCCAACTTCCCAATCCCTATACTAGCAGAGGTACTAGGATGTCGTGACCTGGATTTGTTGGGGGGCAGAGCGTTTGAAGGCAATGGGGACCATGCTCTGCTGAAGTATGGGTTCGATTGTTCTGCCCTCATGGTTGCGCTGATGACCGAAGGCCCGCTGCTATGTGCATGGCTGCTCTTGTGCTTGCTTGACCAGTAGCAGGAGTTGATAAACCGTTCCAGAAAGCTGGGGATGAGTATTGATATCGGCCTCCAGAGCGACGGCATGCATGCACAGATGATTGCAAGGTTATACTCGATGACCGTCCACACTGACGAGTTTATGTTCGTCCAGGGTGTATCAGAACGGGATGTTGCGAGGTCGATGGTTGTGATGCGGAGAACCGATGTTATGCAGACACTAAGTAAGAAAAATCAGTATATATGAAGTCAGGTAGGGCAGGGTAACAAGAATGTAGTCAATTGTGAAACACACAATAATCCGAGAGCAAACACCCCGCACAGAGCCACTTTACTCCTGTCCGGCAGCTGTAGCCGAAGTATGACTGGAATGGGCAGCAGGACGATGAACACGTCTGTTGCGATAATGAAAGACGCATTTGCGAACCAAAATGCAGCCACATTGATGCATGTTCCACCTCCTGGAGTCTTCTTGTCAAACGCATAAGGGACTGGGTTGCACTGGAAAATACTCGAGACCACGGTCCCAGCGGTAAATGCAACAATGACTGCGATGCCCGCCCAACAGGTGGTCTTGAACCAGGGTGGAATGAAGACCTGAAGGTAGAGAAGCAAAACGCTTATCTTCGTCAAGGCGCTGGTTATCTTGTAGAATATCTGTGCGAAATAGTATAGCTGCAGCGAACGGTTAGTATGAGCGTCTATCCTTGGGCTATGAGGGAAAAAGAGACACCCCATACCTTTAAGGACTTTGCAAGCAACTCCGGAGGTATGTCATCTATATGTTTGCCGAATGCCCACCCACATACTATGGAGATATTAGTTTATGTTTATGAAGAACAATTTGATAACAACTAGTGAAACTTACTGATGATCATCTGAATCGAAATGGTTTCCGCAAACACCTGGGCTCAGGCACACCGTTAGTCCACAGTATTATGCATTTCATGCTATATATCTCCAGTTGGCACAGGGAAGAAGGATATGCATGTATTCCATACCAGAGACCCCAATATAGTCCAGTCATCAGGTCTAAGGCTCTTTGAATAGTATCGCCGAGTAGCAACCCTCGCTAAAATGAATAGCGGCGTAATAATGGAGAATACCAGAGCTGGAACAGCCAGACGATCGGAAATGTCCTCGACATCCCCGTAGTGACTGAAGAGCGGCATTATGCCTCATCGAGATAGGACTTTTAAGGAATAAATCCAGCCCATTTGGATATATTGTGTTAGGACAGAGGGGGAGGCAAAGACAAAACGAAAAAAAAAAAGTGAGTGATATACAGACTGATAGAGAGGAGAAATAAGTAAAGGGTTTATCGTCTTACCTATGGCTATGCCTGACAGCTTTTCAGCGGGATTGCCAACACAAGCCTCAAAGAGAGAAGGTAGTAGGTAGCCATGGGTTGTCCTATAGGAGCTGGATAAAGGCAAAGGAGCAGGGGTTCGATTTCTCGACTCTATCCCACGCTGAACCAGAGCGCAGATTGGGATTCTGACTGGAATGTAGGGAATTGTATGGGCAGTGTTGCAATCATCCCATGTCATGGCCCGGGGGTATACATGCAGGGGAGGGTAGTCGGAATGAACACTTGACTAACTCGACAGACAAGCAAGGGGGGGTGTCTCCGAAGAGGATTCCTTGAGCCAGCAACCCTGCTTGATATGGGCTGAGTTGGCTGGCGGTTGCTTGCTTGCTTCCTTCGCATGCATCCTTCGAGCGGCGAGTTACTCCTGGAGCTAGTTAGCTGGAGCCAGGTGTCCTTCCTGCAAGAGTACTATTAATTGCCTAATAGTAATAACAGACGGGACAGCCCGCCATGTCTTTTCGAAGTCGAGAGCCGGAGAAACAGGTTATATTCCAACAAGAGCGGTTGGTTGGGAGACTGGTTCTTAACAGTTGAACCCTGCCTTTAGCCGCTCCTTGCACCCCACGGCAATAGCACAAGGGCACATATAGTCTGGCCACGCTTGGTATCCGCACTCACCCGTCAGCGGAGCGCCAATTGCCCTCCGTTGCCTGGGGGTCTGGCTTCCCGAAGGTGCTGGGATGTGTAATTAGTCTCTGCTTTTCTTTCAAGGGCCAAAAAGCAAGGCCCTGCGAGAGTGTTTCTCTTACGCAATTGATCGCAAGACATGTCGATCGGGCCCTCGAATGGAGCGCCAACATTTGAACTATTATTACTCCGTATGACTGCTCGAGTTGATATATAGCGCAAGCCGAGCTGACAGTATGTCCTCCCTTGGGGGTTGCACTTCAGATACGATACTCCGGGCAGAGAGCGACAGGTGAAGTGGAAATTAGCTAGTTGAGGACCCCATAGCTAACGACGGGTAACTAGCTAGTTAAGTACATATAACTGGCTAGCTAGCGAGTTAACTAGTTAGTACTAACCTCCTGCTGGCTGAGACCTTTTCCAGGCAATTACCGCTGGAAGAGCAGTATTATAGCCTTAGGAAAGGGGCAAAGGGTCTCCCAGTGATAGCTACCAAGGCAACAGAAGCTGTTCGAACAAAACTTGAACGTCAATTTCACAAAGCCGGACGAGTGAGACTGTAAGAAAGCAGGTTTAGACGGAATTCTGTGTGTCAGGACAAGACCCGGCATGGGGATTGCCAATATATTGATAAGAGATATAACTTCATGCTGGACTCAGGAAGCCGGGATAGGTCTACAGAGCACAAGAGGCC